GCAGATCGCGCGTTGCCGCCTTGGGCCGTGGTTTTTCATCCCCGGCGTGTTGTTGGCCTCGGTCGCCCCCTCCCTCACCTCCTCGCTAACGGCCTCCCGCTCCCTGTCCGCCTGCGCCTGCGCCTCCGCCGCCTGCGCCTCCGCCATCCGGCGGCCGCGGTCCCGCTCGCGCTCCAACTCCACCTGGGAGGCACCCGTACGTACGTACGTACGTACGAACATTACCAATGCATACGAACAATACCAAGAACGATGCGAACCATGATGGCCCAAGTAATTCCAGTCCAGTGAAAATCGGTTAAACGGTTAGCGGGTCGGTTGGTGAAATGTTCGTGTTGTAACAGATGCTGTGCTGATGTTGTGCTGATGTTGTGGTGAAGAAAACGACGCCCATTAGACGGTCCGGTCCGGTTAAACCCCAGAGGGCCGTTTCCTCCAGAGGGCCGTTTCCTCCAGAGGACCATTCGTTCCAGTTTTACTTTTCCACAGAGCCTGCCTTGACACACCTTCCCCACATACCTGCTCCTCTTTCGCGGCCTTCCTAACATCCGCCCCTGCCCCTGCCCCTACCCCTACCCCTACCCCTACCCCTACCCCTGCCCCTGCCCCTGCCCCTGCCCCTGCCCCTGCCCCTGCCCCTGCCCCTGCCCCTGCCACAACAACCAACGACCATCGGGGGGCCCCACCTCCAGCTTCGCAATGGCCTCTTGCAGCTGCTCTATCAGTTTGTCCTTCTTCGCCCCGGCGGCCTGGGACTCCTCCAGGTCCGCCTGCAGAGCCAGAACCGTCTGGTTGCGTCTGGCCATATCCGCCTGCATCTTGGACGCGCCCTCCTAGACGTCGCGAACAATAACAACAACAGCACACGGACAGCAACAGGAGAGGCCAGGCAGACAGATAGACAGACAGACAGGCAGGGGAAATTTAAAAAGTTTATGGCAAGCGGGGGCAGAAGAAGCCTGGCGGGGTGGGGAGCCGCCGATAGATGCAAAAAAGGGGAGCGAGATTGAACCAGGGGGCGGTCCTCAAAATCACCCTCCATACCCGCACCCCTCTAAAACCCTAAAACAGCAGCCCCGCCGACAACCCCGGCCCTCCCCACACAGACACCCCCCCCACACACACACACACACCAACCACACACACACCTGCGCCGCGCTCCGTTCGATGTACATGTCCTGATAGAGCTTCCGAGTCTGGGCCTTATGCTGCGACTCCAGCGTCTCCAGCGCCTCCTCGTGGCTCTTACGCTGCTTCTCTAACGCGGCCTGTGCCGCCGCCACAGCCGCCTCCAGCTCCGAAACCTGCTTGTTCTTCGCCTCCAGTTTTTCCTTGGTTGCTGCCAGCTCCTCCGCCGCCGCCTTGGCGCGTTTCTCAGCGCCCCGACGCGCCATCTCGGCCTTGTCCCGGGCCGCCTCCGCAGCCCTGTCGGGGTCAGGACGGACGGGGAAGGTTGTGGTGACGGCGGCAGACCAACAAGATGTACTACTTCCCGCCCAAGATGCACTCCCGGCAGCACCAAAATGGTTTCTTCTAGGCACCCCTAGTTTCAATAGTAAATGTAAAATGATATTTACCAGGTGTATAAACTTTTTGTACTAGTCAAGATTTTTTGATCTTGACAGGCACTGAACTCACTTGAGGCCCTTCATGTACCTCCTCGCCGCATCCATATCCGCGGCCTCGCGCTCCGAAGCCACCGCTGCCGCAGCCATGGACTGCAGCTGAGCCGCCGCTAGCTCGCTGTCGCGCAGCTGGGCCGTCAGGCGGGCGACCTGAGCAGCCGGGGAGCAGTAGCGACAGCAGTAGCGACGAGTAGCAGCAGCAGTGATAGTGACGGAGATGAAGGTGGTCGCAAAAGCGGCGACGTCATTGACCGAGGAGACAGAAGCAGCAGCAGCAACAACAACAGCAAGGGCAGACGTGTTGCAACGTAGTATCACTGGCAGTCTCCAGCAGTCCAGCAGTCCAATAGCTGGCTTTTGTTCGCGAGTGAAAGCTGCCACGAAAGCCCACCAGCAGCACAGCAACATGCGCCAGCGACATGCAGTTCCTGTTCTCCCCTCCTTCCCCCCTCCTTTGACGTCCTCCTCACATGCAGCTATCCAACGCCG